ACAGGACAAACACGTTCACCGACCCCGAAATTGACAGTTAACGGAAACAGCTGTCGTGAAGATAAATTTGAAATTCAAACACGGTCAAAAATGTACAGAACTTGCCACTTAAAACGGAAGCCAGCGATAATCGCGCAGGATGGTATAAAATCTAAATCAGAAGCTGGTACAGTCTCGTGAAAGTCGTCTTGGTTCCTAGGACGCTTCACGAACATTAATTACTTCGCATCGAAATCGTCTCTTGTTTTTCGTCGCACGCGTAAGTCCTTATACAAAGACAACTATTTAACGGAGCGCTTTCATAACTTTAACACAGTTAAAGACAAGCAATTTTATTGTAGTTTACAAGTTTTTATCTAAGCTACCGAGTTAAAGTCTGTGGAAATCTTGCAATAGAAGACATATAATTAAAACTTGTACTTTACCACGACGACGTAAGGTTCATAAATGACAACCACAAACAAAGAGAAAATAAAATTATAAATTTAAATTTAGATTTTATTATTATTAATGTCACCTGGTGTAATTTTATACAGAATTTGCGACTCTGGTACTAAAGGAGTGCTTAAATGGATAAGTCTCAGCGGATGTGGCACTTATAGCTCAAAGTTCTGCACAGAACCAGTCTCTAGGGGCATAACGAAGTTCAACTTGCACAGGATTAGACGCGAAATTTTCGACGGCCATGATAGAAGTATGGAACGGGTAAATCTCACTCCACATACGCAACAAGATGACAACTAAAAAGACAGTTCTCTCGCAAAGTGCAAACCTTAGAAGCCAGTCTAATCATTTGAGATGAGGCAACGTCTCTGGGGATAAATCAAGAGATTCCTCATCTTAATACAGAACTCACAACCAACTAAAGAGAACAAATCGATAGTCGCTAATTGGAAAAAAAAAATTATTAAAAAAAACAAAAAAGTTTACTATCACGTCAACAAAAGCCCACCATACGAACCTATCCCAATCCAAAGGTTCTCACAATATTTATTTAATATTATCCTTCCATCTACACTTTGGTCTTTTAAGTTGTCGCTTCCGTTCAGATTTTTATACTGAAATTTTGTTTGCATTTCTAATCTCTTTATTATATATGTCCCAGCCAGTTTATCCACCTTTATCTCGTCACTCTGACAATAAATGGCGAAGCTCATAATCATATTTACATTATATTTAACCCTTAGAAGCCCGACGCTAGTCTAAAGAATATTTAAGAATTCAGTCCGTACCGCGAAGAAAACACTACACTTCACCATTACGAAAGATCGAATGGTAAACGCTGTTTAAGGAAATAATCGCTGTTTATAATGAGACACGCACTGCGTACATAATATTTAAGAATTCAGTCCGTACCGCGAAGAAAACACTACACTTCACCATTACGAAAGATCGAATGGTTAACGCTGTTTAAGGAAATAATCGCTGTTTATAATGAGACACGCACTGCGTACATAATATTTAAGAATTCAGTCCGTACCGCGAAGAAAACACTACACTTCACCATTACGAAAGATCGAATGGTTAACGCTGTTTACAGTGAGGATCATAGGAAATACATAAATAGAAAATGATGACTTACTGACCATTAAATCAGCTGGTATATAGAGTTACCACTCGGCCTAAAAGAGTTTATATGATGACGTAAACACGTATGTAATTAAGTAATTAGAACTGATCTAATAATTCCAATGATCTGACCTCATTTAAAACTAACGGAACAGAAAATCTGAATTGAAGAATCCTTTTCGGTTGTTGTTCCACGCTGTGGATCCCAATTTATACATTTATTCATTGAATATATTTACGATGTAAAGGAACGTAGATCCATGTTTATTAAAAGAGTCTCCTTGGTAATCTCTTTTACGTACGTGAACATTCTCAAACAAACATCAAGAAGAAATCTGTTGTAAAGGGAATACAAAACGCATACCGAGCCAGAATACATTTATTTTAATTTTAGTTTAATTTTCATCTCTTGGACAAGACAGATGAATGTTTATTTTTCTTTCTTTAATTCTCTGCAGAAACCGGAGTATAATTTCTCTGCAGTGCGACTAATCTCTGAAGAAAAATTAAGTTTCAGCTCGAATAGATTCACGTGTCAGAATCCCAACGGGTTCACAGATTCAGTAAATAATTCTCACTTAACTTTTACGAACGAGATTAAAATATTTCTGCTGGCAACTTATTTATATAAGCTATTTGGTTGTTCGCAACCAGGGGAACATTTGAAGGCCAACTGTGGTCCGCGTGATAATTCCATAAATAAAAGGCAAGAACATTAACATATACTTAAAAATAATTAGCATAAGGTTAGTGGCGGGCTCTTGTGAACACGGTAATGAACTTTCGGGGGTTCGTAAAAGACGCAGAATTTGATTACACGGACGACTATTAGCTAATCAATAATACGAACTACACTAAAAAATAAAACAACGTCGAACAATAAAGTTAATAATATTTTTGGTTTTCAAATATTTAAAATATTCAACATAAAAATGTTTAAATATATTCAGTAATTTGTCAGTTAACACTATTCCTGTTTAAATTTCAATAAAAATTAACTAAGTAGGATTTGAGGTTCTCCCATCGGCGAGAATGAATATGGCTGTATTCTGTATTTGAAATGGGTTCAAATGAGATTCTTCCACGCAAAAATATAATAGCTGACTTTACAAATATTATATTTCCTTGTCCTATCATTTCCCTTTGTTAATGGTAATAATTAGTTGGGATGTGTAAACAGTACGTAAATCTGGTGGGCTAATAATATGTGGATGCAATAACATACCTGAATTGCTGTTCTAACTGTTGCTGCCAATGAATGTCGGTCCG